AGTAGTTAGAGTTATCGTTAGTAGTTATTTCGTTAACTATTAGCGAATGGTAGATTTGAATATGACCAAATGAATATTCGTTAATAGTTAACGAATCTCGTTTGAAATGAATGAATGAGTCTATCAGTGCGTGCATTCGAAGCCAAAAACTTACGAAATGATGAAGACGCTCGGCAAAGCGGCGCACATGCAGATAGGCAGATAATGTAGATTGTCAAAATCGTCAGGTTGCTCCATGTTGCCCCCCAACTCAGCCATTCCCAAACAAAATCAAAGACAGTTGACCAATTGACCCCCACTGATCGGAGGGCCACCAAACAGTCTCAGGTGTTCACACGAGACTCAGCTCTCATTCACGAGTGTCTGCGCGGCAGTTGGCTATCGGACCCTGGACGTCCATCCACTGAGATCATCAACGTGCTCACGACCTTCCCGATGATACCTCAAGCGTGCACACCAATGATCCATCGAACACGCACTCTGATCGATTCCCGAAGGTCTCGCGAGTGTCTCGCCGCGATCAAAATACTCACCTCCGCAATGATTCAAGAATTTACGTACCGAATGAACAGCTCAATGTGCTGCCATTCCTAATCCACCCTCACACAAAATAGCGATAACATCGAGTAAAGTGTATCGTTATCTCGATTTTTCAGCGAGTCGTCACCTCATTCTGTTATCAACTCGTCAGTGTAAACGAATCATCGATTTTTAGCCCTTGTTTTTCATGAATCGAGGACGATGAACGATTGTGAGGAATTATTTAGTCGGGGGGTGCAACCCTTAACCTCCGAGATGGCACCCTCGTGTGGTGAAAATCACTCGCTGGTCGATTTGCCGTTTGCGCGACGAGTTGGGACGGTTTTTCGAGTCGTTGGCTCCACTTTTCGATGAGTTTTGCGAGGGAGGGAAACGTGAGAGGGGGACGTCTGGATTTAGGCGTTGTTTCGCTTAAATATTATTTCGATAATAATGGGGTTTGCTGTGTGGCCAGTGGACTGTATTTATAGCACGTTTGAACCAGGGGAACCGCGCGCGCGCTAGAATCACGTGGGCCTGTGACGTGGGGAGCGTTTGAATTTGAGTAAACACGTGAGAAATTATTTTTCAAACTTCAATTACATAAAATTTTCACTGAATTTCGTGAGATTTGTCATGCAATCTCAATTTCGAAACTCCCTGAACATTTATTTTTCTTGTAGGGTAAATGACCCTATGCTCGTCTAGCTTAGGTGAACACATCATTAGTGTAATATTTCTATCGAAATGAGCGTGAAGGTGCGATGATTCAAATTACACAAGATCTATACGCACGCTCTCGCGCGCGCTGATCTATTCGTTTGTTGAAATGAAGAAATGGAATTCATTAAATTTCATTTTCTCATGAATACCTTATAAATATTGATAATGAATCAAAGAGAATTCGACTAATGATTGAAGTGAATAGCGAAGTAGAGTAAAAGAATCTATAAAGAATTTTTCATTTTCAATTAATTATCTTCAATTTTT